GATCTGACTCGTCTTCAAGATGGGATCTCTCAACAACTGTCGGATCGCGCACGTCACGCATCCCAACAACACCAACCAGTACGTGCATCTCGTGGAATTGCACCACCAGAGTCTATTGGGGTCTCTGATCATACCGGCCTACGACTCCATCATGCAGCACCACTGCGAAGGAGAAGCCTATCTTCGAGCTAAATGATGACTAGACTGATGCGTGTTGGGCATGGTACAAAAAGGGTGGTTTTCATGCTTGTGCTGCCTTGCTTGGTTATGGTTGTGCATGGTGACTGTTTCTTTACTAGCTGGATCTGAACCCGCGGCACGCCCTGTCTCTCACTTCGGCATGGACATCGAGGATGCGAAGCAGTGCCCATGGCTCGAATACTTGGTCTGGCAGGATCAGGAGTGGGTGCGGATCTATACTCCAGGACAGCCTCAGCTATGGCAACCAGGAGAAACCGTACCTGACCTACCAGACAACTCTTTTCGGGCGTGGAAGCGGGTAACTGATCCCAGTGGTGGGACTGGTGAACACAGTCAGGCGTGGACCATTCGCGACTGGCAGCATCAAGGATACCAACGCATCCTGTCTCGCAGGGAGTCCTTTACTACACATCATGCCCGTGATCAATCACTTGGTGATGTGCAGAATTCCGATGCAATCCAAGTTGAGGAAATGTTCACCTATGCCACCCCTATTTCTGACGGTGATCGCTCGACTGCTTTGCAATTCTCTTCAGTCTTCTATGGCGACACTCGTAATGCTCATCGTGGTGATCTTTCGTTCCCGTCTTCTGAGCGGCTTAGGGCTGTTTCGCGTTCCCCTCGCCGCGGTGGATATTTTGGTCAACGATAGGGACACGAAGTTGAGCGTGTGATCTTCCTGCCGAAAAAGAGACTTCTCGCCCCTCATTGAGGGGCGTGTGTGTGCGGAGTGACAGAATGCCCTGTCACCACCATGTGCAGCAGGGGGCAGGAGCACCATGGCAAGTCTCCTGCCAACGAAGACACTTGCCATTGGTGGTGATACTGGGACTGATCATCCCAGCGTACCTGCATGTGTAAAGTGATGTTGCTGTCCTTTTGGCCCCCTTGGTTGCGGCGCTGTTTGTGCTTCTTGTTCTTTCGGGTAACGTTTTCGCCTCTAGAGAGAAGCCGAGTGACTTGCAAGCAGAACTCAGCCGAGACTCATCAGTTGTACTCGAGACTCATCAGTTGTACTCGAAAGATTAGCACTCTCCATCTGGAGTTTAAGTGTGTGTGTGTGTCGGTGTGTCTCTGTGTGTCTCTGCGTGTGACTCTGTGTGTCTCTGTGTGACTCCGTGTGTCTGTGTGTGTGTGTGTGTTTGCGCGCCTGTGCGTCTGTGTGTTTTTCCCGAATGCGTAGCGAAGGGTTTTCGTTGTAGAAGGGGGTCTGGGGGTCAGCATGTGTTCGCGGGATGCGTCGCTGCGGTCGCAAGCGTCCGCGAGTGGAACGTAAGGCCGTGCCAGTGGGGAAAGCGTTTTACACATTGTTTGGATGACTTGAAGCGTGTCATTTTTTGCGCCCCTGTGCGCACATTTTGCGAACGCGAAGCGAACCCTTTGCGCACTTTGGGTGGGTCAATTCGCTCTCGCTGTGGCGCGGTGCGAGTTTTGAGCACGCGAAGTGAACCCTCTGCGCACATTGGGTGGGTCGAATCGCTCTCCCTGTGGCGCGGTGCACATTTTGAGCGCGCAAAGTGAGCCCTCTGCGCGCTTTGGGCGGGTCGAATCGCTCTCGCTGTGGCGCGGGCCCATCTGGAGACAGATGTTTCATTCAGAAGCGCCGATCACAAGTGTCCATTAAAAGTGTCGATTAGAAGTGTCGCTCAGAAGTGTCGCTCATCAGAAGTGTCGACAGAAGTGTTGGTCAGAAGTGTCAATTGTTCCGCAAAAGTGTTGATGAGAAGGGTTCTTCAAAAGTGTCAGTCAGAAGTGTCGATCAGAAGTGTTGCTCAGAAGTCTCGCTCAAAAGTGTCAATTCAGCAGTGATTCTCAAAAGTGTCAATCACAAGTGCGGATCAAAAATGTTGCGCAGAAGTGTCGGTCAGAAGTGTTGCTCAGAAAAACCGATCAGAGAAAGTGTCGCTCACATGTTGCGCGCAAGTATTGCTCAGAAGTGTTGATCAGAAAAAGTGTGGTTCAGAAGTGTTGATGAGGTGTCGCTCAAAAGTGTCGCTCAGAAGTGTCAATGAAAAGTGTGGGTCAGAAGTGTTGCTCACTCAGAAGTGTCGATCAGAAGTGTTGCTCAGAAGTGTCGCTCAGAAGTGTCAGTTCAGCAGTGTTGCTCAGAAGTGTCGTTCAGAAGTGTCGATGAGCAGTGTGAATCAGAACTGTCGTTCAGGAGTGTTGCTCAGAACTGTCGATGGCAAGTGTGGATCAGAAGTGTTGCTCATCAGTGTCAATCAGAAGTGTGGTTCAGCAGTGTTGCTCAAACTGTCGATCAGTAGTGTCAAGCAGAAGTGCGGATCAAAAGTGTTGCTCAGAAGTGTCGACCAGAAGTGTTGCTCAGAAAAATCGATCAGAAAAAGTGTCGCTCAGAAGTGTTGATGAGAAGGGTTCCTGAAAAGTGTTGGTCAGAAGTGTCGGTCAGAAGTGTTGCTCAGAAGTGTCGCTCAAAAGTGTCAATTCGGAAGTGTTGCTCAGAAGTGTCGCTCAGAAGTGTCAGTTCAGCAGTGTTGCTCAGAAGTGTCGTTCAGAAGTGTCGATGAGCAGTGTGGATCAGAACTCTCGTTCAGGAGTGTTGCTCAGAACTGTCGATGGCAAGTGTGGATCAGAAGTGTTGCTCATCAGTGTCAATCAGAAGTGTGGTTCAGCAGTGTTGCTCAAAGTGTCGATCAGAAGTGTCAACCACAAGTGCGGATCAAAATAGTTGCTCAGAAGTGTCGATCAGAAGTGTTGCTCAAAAAATCGACCAGAACAAGTGTCGCTCAGAAGTGTTGCTCAGAAGTGTCGATCAAAAAAAGGTGGTTCAGAAGTGTTGATCAGGTGTCGCTCAAAATTGTCGCTCAGAAGTGTCAATCAGAAGTGTTGTTCAGTAGAAGTCGATCAGAAAAAGTGTGGCTCAGAAGTGTCGATCAGAAAATGTGTGGTTCAGAAGTGTTGGTCAGGTGTCGCTCAAAAGTGTCGCTCAGAAGTGTCAATCAGAAGTTGTGCTCAGACGTGTCGCTCAGAAGTCTAGTACGCGTTGGAAAATCGCAACTTTGTAGCGCAAGTCTCAGCTCGAAAATCGCAACTTTGTAGTATTGTAGTACCAGTCCAACGTGCGAAGTACAGGCTTCCAGCTCCAACTGGAAAATCGCGACTTTGTAGTACAAGTCTAGTACGCGAAGCACAGGTACGCGAAGTCCAGGCTGCTGGAAAATCGCGACTTTGTAGTACAAGTCTAGTACGCGAAGCACAGGTGCGCGAAGTCCAGCTCTAGCTGGAAATCACAACCTTGTAGCACAAGCCTAGCGCACGAAGTACAGGTTTCCAGGTCTAGCTGGAAAATCGTAACTTTGACAAGTCTAGTACGCGAAGTACAGGTTTCCAGCTCCAGCTGGAAAATCGCGACTTTGTTGTACAAGTCTAGTACGCGAAGTACAGGCTTCTAGCTCTAGCTGGAAAATCGCGACTGTGCGCGAAGTACAGGGTTCTAGCTCTAGCTGGAAAATCGCGACAAAGAAGAAACAAGTCTAGCGTGCGAAGTACAGGTTTCCAGCTGCAGCTGTAAATTGCGTTTCCAGCTCTAGCTGGAAAATCACAACTTTGTAGTACCAGCTCTAGCTGGAGAATCACAACTTTGAAGTACAAGCCTCGTGCGCGAAATGTGCAGGTTTCCTGCACTACCTGGAAAGTCACAACGTTGTAGTGCAAGTATAGCACGTGCAGTACAAGTTTCCAGCTCTGGCTGGAAGATCGCAACTTTGAAGCCAAGTACAGTACGCGAAGTACAGGTTTTGAGCTCCAGCTTGAAAATCGCAACCTTGTAGTACAAGTCTAGTACGCAAAGTACAGGTTTTCAGCTCTAGCTGGAACATCGCAGCTGTGTAGCGCAAGTCTGGTGCGCGAACTACCAGTTCCGGCTGGAAAATCGCAACTTTGTAGTACAAGTCTAGCGCTCGAAGCGCAGGTGTCCAGCTCCAGATTGAAAATCGTAGCTTTGTAGCAACAAGTGGAGCACGCAAAGAAGAGTTTTACAAGATGAAAAGCCCCATTGACTTGTACCGAAAAATGTTCTCTCTAATTATTTTCTTGGGTTTGCGCAAAGTGATGTGCATTCGAGTTCGTGGGCTCTGTCTTGTTGTGTCTGCGCATCATTGCGTCTGTTCTGTGCGTCTGTGTGTCTGCGTGTGTTTGTGTGGGTGCGTTCGTGCGTGCGTGCGTGCGTGTGGTGTGTTTGCAAAAAGGCACTCCTGAACAATTCCTTCCTCGTAGCAGATGAAGGCGAGCAAAGGCTCGCTATGGCTCAAGCCGACAGAAACATATTCACCCACTCCACATGCTGTTGGCTTAGAGGTCCACTTAGAATTCGCTCTTTGAGACAAAAAGCCAACCAATGCCAAGCCAATACCGGATTAATGACTTGCTCGCACTATATCAGAAATCGCTCCACTTATGCCAAGCATTTCACATGTTTTAGTTTGGTCGTTGAAAGGCCTGCTTCTACGACATAGCCAGTTGAACTATGTTTTGTCCCGAAAGGTGGGGCGCGTAGTTGGACGAGGACAGAAGTAGAATACAAAGCATGCATGTGTATGTGTGAAGTTGCGAGTAGCGAACAATTATGTTTGTTTATTTCGCTAGGTTATACTATGTGTTGACCAGCAGGCACTTGTCAGACCGGACATTTGTCACCTTGCTGGCACTGTGCGCTCGGACCCATGTACCACCATGCTTTATCCATCAACTAATCCTTTTAGACAGATGGCACACCTCCACACAAGAGCCTGAGTCAAGCAAGGAACCCTCGCTTTGGGCGTCGCCGCTGCCGTATGCAGGCAATGTGCCCGTCCTCACTGTTGAACTGGGCCGCGAACGCCCAACAGCTCGCCCCTCGACACCTCGTCTGGCCCGGCCAGCGACACCCCAGCGGACCAGGCAAGGATGGGGAGGGGGGGTCCAAACAGCAAATCACAGCAACAACTGTCCTGCATCTCGGGAAAGAGTCCTGGGTTTCCCGGTTTGATACGCGGTTTAGTGGGCAGCAAAGTGCGCGACTGCAGTTGACGGAGATAATCAATTGCAATTTGAAGCCACAAACAAATTCAAGTTCTCAGATGCTAATAAGGCAGTTCTTGCCGTTTCCTACCTCCTTTCTTTGTCGTGTGGGTCAGGCTGCGGGCCACAACAGAGACGTATGCCTTACTCTCGGGTAAGCCGAGGACCTGCTTTGGTGGTGGCACCTGGGGCACGGCCCTGGCGCAAACGCGCGAAAGGTGCAACCTGCACGCTTGCGGTGCGGTCGCATGGAAAAAGCAGAGAATTGATCAAAAGGTCCTTTACATGGGATGACAATTGGGGAAAACCACCAAAAATATGATATTTCCCACTAAATGGGAAAAGTTACCCAGGAGGAACATTGATCGACCCCCAACTATGCGGAGTCTTGCGTAGCCTTTAGTGCTGTTTTGATGTATCTCATTTTTCTAAGTTGCACATGTCACTATCATGTCAGGCGATGAACAATGCGTCAGGAAGTCAACTAGGGTAGAGTCTTGTTGCTCTATGTTCGCTTGTTGGAGTCCCATGTTATGCCCAGGCTCGGCCAGGCCAAAGCAGAGGCCTGGCAGTGGCAAGCATTCCTGTGGCGTGATGTTGGATGGGAATCACATGTATTTGTGTCAAATTCCAGCCTTCGGAAAGATTGAAATGTGTGTGAAAGGTCTGCATTTTTCCCCGCACGTAGACTTAGATCCTGCGTACCAAGTTTGAAGGACTTGATAAGATAGCTTCGATTCCGCCTGCAGCGTCAGCGCAGGCGAGACCAGCTAGAAAGTCCCGCGACGGCGGCCAAATGCTGAGAGAGACAGAAGCACTACTGAAGGCGAAGAAAAGGGGATCAAGGTCACAAGCTTCATCGGTATGACCTTTGGTGAGATGATAGCAGCCAAATTCTGTGCAAAGCTACAACTTCAATTTGTGCAGCATTCCCGCGTTTGTTACTTGTACTCCACACCCGTGCAAAGAAGCACATGGAAGCATGGCTGGTTGTACTGGCCCAAGGCAAGTGCCACCAAGGTTATCCAGCTCTACAGAAGAGATCCTTGGATGCAAGCAGTTCAGCAGCATGTCAAGGGGAAAGTGACATTTCACATTAAGTACCGCAAATTCCTTGAACAGCTAGCCTTCTTTGTGTACTGTGCCCTGGGCTGTTGCTTTCTTGGCATTTTTACTGCAGCCCGAGCTCCGAATTGGGCTGCGTGTATCCACCCATGTCATGTGCGTGCCATTTCTTCGCTCAATCGTTGTCCTCACTGCAGTTGATGCTCAGGCGATGCCCGCGCCACCCCTTCCCCGGCACCTTGGCTGGAGAGGTTGCTGGACCCCAAAGCTCGGATGTCACGGGCTGTATGCCACGCTGAACATAGGAGAACGCTGGGTGAGTGGTAAAACTAAGAACAGCATGAAGCTGGTTTGCAAGCCTTGCAGTGTAGATGTTTGCCAGAATTGCAGCAAGGCTCAAACACGGCAACCCCTCCTTCCCACAGAAGGAAAACAAAGCATGTCTACTCCCAGCCTTCGAACCTCTTAGCAATCAAGTGAGGCACGGCCGCCCTGCTCACAGCGCAGCCCGCGCAGCAGCAAGGGCGGGGCTCACAGAGTGGTGATGATGGTGGCGGTTATGTGATATGTGATTGCAGTCATTGTGGTCCTTGGAGCGACTGGGGTTATTGCAGCGTAAGTCTCCCTTCTCGCGAGATGTCGTTGAAAGTCTTAAAATGTTCAAGCAAGGGGCCTCTAGAGAACATGTGGGTGTGTCTCAAGCTATAAGAGCCACGACCTAAGGTTCTACTCTACTTGTTCATGTACCAGGGTTCTACTTTGGACCTTATTTTTGAGCCACACCCATGGCAAGCTTGAGGGGAGTATTTGGGACATGGCAGAATTGCGTTGGCGTTGCATCAAGCTCGCAATGCGGCTGGGTTTGCTGTTGACCTTTGTGGGAAAATGGACCTGCTGTTACGCTTCCAGGAAGCCCGTATTTCCCCAGATTAGACGGGCGAGCCTGCGCCGGGCCGCCAGGCAGTGAGCCCGGAAAGGAGCCGCGCCTTGGACGGCCCTGCGTTTGAGTCCCTTAGGGTAGTCAAGCAGCTGGTTTCGTGGTTGGTGAGTTTCGTGGTTTCGTGGTTTCGTGGTTTCTGTCCCTCGTGAAGGAGATTGAAGGAGCGTACCAGGCCATTTTGAATCGGTGGCAATGGCAAAGCCACTGCTGTTGGGCCTTCAGATGCAAATTATACAAGCGAACGTAACATGTTTGGTTCAGATAAGGGTGACCATTTGCCCAGTTTCCAGGCAAGTAACGCACTTGTTGTATTCGACCATTCTTTCCTTGGATTCGAAAAAGATGTCACCACTCAACTCAGGACGCAGCCACCGGAGGTAGAACACCAGCGCCACAAGCGGCTCTCGTCGCCGTCGCCACGGCCTGTGGCAACGATAGGAGTGGCAGAAAGCATTTTCGGTGGGAATGGTTAAACAAAAACACAAAGAAGAGGCCCCTCAAAAACGACATACCTACAAAGTGTTCGCTTCTGGCAAGGAAAAACCAGGGTCTCGGGATTCCTGCATAAACCCTGGCTGTCCGTGTTCATTGTGTTCATGGGATAGCTCTTTCGACTGGATGGACTTGGATAGATTGGCGGTGACTTCAATGCTTTCCAGGACCGAATGGTCGTCCACCAACCATGGTGGAGAGATCGCAGGCGTGGCAGGCGCGCAATTGGTTTTCGATGGTTTTCTTGTTTAGGGCACGCTGCCTTGGTTGCTCTAAAGGGAGAACCAAAGGGAAGCCACTTGTGCGAGTCCTTTTTTCAGTGGGGGCGCCCCTTCAGACACAACCTCATTTGGGCATTGCAGTCCCAAGACGCTTGTTCAAAGCCAAAAGCGCGCGTAGCCAAGCCAGCTGGGTCGGGGTACGATGCCTCCACCACCAGAGCATCAAGCGTTTCCAAAAATTAGGTTACCATGGAATAGTTTCTTTTGTTTCCCTTCAAACACCGGTGAGATACGGTCCATGTGGGTGTGCATATGCCTTTCTTGGGACGGAACCCCCACAGGGATGGTGTTCCTTTTGGTTTTCCCCTTAAACCAATCCCAAAAGGAAAAACAGTGGGGACAACCACTGTGTTTACTGGTTTTCACCCACAGTGATGGTTCCATCAATAAAAGAAGAGACGCCCGTTTGCCATGTCCGCTCAGTTCTCCGGTTGCTTCTGAGGCGTATCGCGAGGAGAAGCTCCAGGCGCTGAGGAACAAGTGCCAGCAGCAGATCGGCCGGGGACCTTGGACTCGGGCGTGATGCGCGCGCACAGCAATCTGGAAAAGTGTGTATACACACATACGTATATATATATATATATATGTATTTATTTATACGTAGAGATATGATGACAATACTGATACAATCATATTAATGCCAGCAAGGTCAGATCCTGACGAAAGTGCTGCGCCTGCCACAAAATCGGTGCTGTACCTGACCTGGCAAAAGTGCTGCGCCATTGCGAAAGTGCTGCACCTGCCTGACCTGGCGAAAGTGCTGCGGCTGCCACTTAACCCAAACCTTGCGAAACCTTCGCGCGGCCGTGCCAATGTTCCCATCTCCGAACCCGTTCCGGGGCCGCGCACAGGCGTTAAAACCGAGTTGGTTGAGAGGCCGAGTTCACGCACAAGGCCAACGTGTTCTTCCTCCGGCTATCCCCCAGTTCTCGTGATTTCATAATTTGTCCACAAGATGGGTGGTCCTTTTGGTTTGGATCTCAATGAGAGCTCATCCCTGGCCTTCAGGCCAGCATGCAAGTCACAAGGACTGAAGCATGCCAAACCATCAGCTCATGAATCCCCCCGGCAAACCCCATGCCCTGTCTTGCCTTTCATTGATAATCGACAGGCCCTTTGAAAACATGTCAGGGTATAACTCCCCTGCTGTCCTCCATCTACGAGTTCCCAATTTCGGGTCGCCTTGACCACTTCCCGGCATGCAATGAATGCAATCCTTCTCAGGTTCCTTCTCGCCGCAGCTCTTCAAGCCCGTGCGCTCCCCTCGTTGGCTTGCGGGGCCCGAGGGGGGCGGCACCTTGCACGACCGGGGCATGCGGCAGATGGCAAGGCCCCTTGAGCCGGACGAATTGGGAAGGGGTGAATGAGTTGGGGAGGCTGACAGCTTTTGGAGCCCTCAATGCAGCAACGGCCGGTCTCACATCCATAGTGGTTGTCTGCAGTGCCATCGGAGCTTCCAGGCGGGCACTGGAGAAGAGGCAGTACGAGGAGGCCAAAAGGGACTCAAGAAATGGCCTACATCCCCAAGGGAGGGAGGGGTTCTCGTCGGCGAATCCTCAATGGAAACAATGCATGGAAGAGTGCCAAACTGGCAGGTGCAGCTAGAGGAGGAGCTGAAGCAGTGCCCCTTCACGCCCAGACTCACCAGCTGGGACAGGCGCACGCATGTCATGTGTGAAAAGAGGACACACGAACACAAGCAAAGGACAAAAGGGAATGGCAGAGATCTGTTGGATCGTCTTTTGATAGAAAGAGGGGATTTGCAAATCAGTGTGTGTGGTGTTAGATCGCGGGGCCATCTTGATCTGACCTTTCTCCAGATTTGGGCTATGTTCTAGGTCTTTGTCACAACAGTGCCAAGTCTGGTCATAGCCAGCCGTCCAGTACTGTGGCCAGGCATTCTGCGTCGCCTTCGCCACAGCTGCTTGAAAGCGAAATAGAGGGGTCCGGTGTGATCAAATGCCGGGGACGGTGGAGGCCAAGGCAGGAAGTCTATCGAAGCTTGCTGGCTGGGGCCTGGATAGCTCCAGCAAAATGAACTATGCTGTTCGAACAGATGCCTCGTGGCTGAATTGCTTTTTCGCAGCCTTCTTGAGCTGCCGGTTTTGCCCAATCTCCTGTTGGCCAGTTGCCTTTCAAGACAGCGGGTAGCCTGCGGTTCAAGTGACGCTAGCTCAGGAAACCGCTGCGCACGGTGGTTTCCTTGCTGGCCACAGAAGAGCGACCCTGCCCCCACGGTCACGTCACGGCAGAGCGGGCCTCTCACTTCTACGAGCAGCAGCGGGCGTGGCTGCAGGCCTTGTTGGGAGGGGGGGGGGAGGGTTGCCAAACACGTTGCCATCTTAGGACCCACTTTAGACCTGCAGAACTGGGTTCCAGAAAGGCCGCCCGTTTGACAGCAATTTGGATCACAGTTCTCGTTCCACGCTTCTGCTCTGTTAGGCCAAAGAGGACGAGAAGCGGGAGATGCGGAAGGCTGGCGTTCAATTCCTGTTTAGCTTGAGGAGAACGAGGGCCCATCCAAATTGCCCCAGTGAAACAAACCCCTGCGACCCAATGTCTCAGGTCCTTTTGGGGACCAATGACAAGTGCATGGAGCATCAATCCAGCTGGGGGGGTTGCTTAAAGCATAAGTTTACGCAGAGTCAGTTGCTGACTGATCGATCGGTTGCCAAGGGTGCGCACCTTTCCAGGAGCATATTTTCCGTGCCCTACAAGAGGAGGCAGAAGCATTCCCGGCATGTTTGCATAGCTTGCTGAACATTCAATGCTCAGGAGCAGGATGTCCTCTTCTTATGTGGGTGTATCGTTTTGGGGGGACCATGTTTCTCATTGGCAAAGCAGTACTAAAGCGAGCCTCGCAAACGCGTGCCTGTGCGTACACATAATATTTCAATATACATGCACATACATGATTATATGTTTGCCTGTGTGTCTGTGTGTGAGTGTGAGGTCGCTTGCTATGGCAGTGAACGTTTTGCAGCAGCCACCGAGTCAAGCGAAAAGGGCAGCTTTTGGACACTATCACTGGCCACAGCCAATCAAGCTGAAATTGGTGTGCCTCACAGGTCCGCAAGCGTGATTGCTCGCCCAAGTTCGGCAAGAGGGCGCGGCAGCAAGGCATGTTGTTCCCATAGTACAATGGTGCAAGCGTCTTCCAAACGACCAGAGTTGCTTAGCTGAAAGTTGCTGGGTTTTGGTTAGGTGAGCACCAGTTTCTGGGCCAAAGCTAATTGGGTGTTGATATTCAAAGCGCACATGAGGAACCCTATTTGTTGTTCATGCGCGCCACAGACGCGCACAGGCTATGCCAAGCAGCCTCTACTACCGCCAGGCGAGCCATCCATTGATCCCAAAGCAAAACGCTAGCCGCACAACGAGTATATTGCAGTAGTGCCGCATCGTTTGATCGCAAGGATTCGAACGTGCCTTGCAAATGGTCCAGTTCTTTTGCTGTTTGTGGCCTAGATGTGGCATTTCAAGCTCTGCTCTCTTTTTGTGGCCCAAAGAGGTTACTGAAACTTTGACTTTTGCTTTGAACTCGGACCCCATTTCTAGCTGAACTGACTTTGGGGTCCTCGCAGGACTGGTGAGCAGCGAAAGAATCGCCCAAGCAGACTAAATGTTAGCGGCTTTGGTTATTTTGCACATGGCAATTGTGGCTCACGACTGTATTCATATTGATATAGCCTAGGTGGCATTTATGCACGTAGTAATCTTGGCTCACGCTTGTATTCATATAGCAAAGGCTATCATGAGCTTTAAGCTTCCCCCACTTCACAAGCGCAAGCATTTGTTGAGGGACCAAATGAATCCGCCCCTTGCAGCTTTCACCAGGAGCCACAAAATCCTTCTTTGCTTGTGAAGCTAAAGGTGAATGATAAGGTTGATGAGGTTCCAAGACTTCCAATGGCTGTTGGGAGAGCAGTGGTGCCAGGCCATCACCCGCAGCTTCTGTACAGCAGTTGAGCCACAATCAAGATGAAGGTTAGTAAGGGGCAGTCCCAGCCAGAAATAGTTGCGGCCGCCTTCTCAATTCTTTACATGGTTCTAGACCAGTTGAATACCGGGTTTTGATTGTGACTCAGTTCCTTTCATGTGTTCTTCAGGCATCTCTCTCTCTCTCACCCACACACGCACAGCTGAGGATGTGTCCCAAAGTCGAGCTCTTTTGGATAGTGGTTCAAGGGACGCCACGAATTTTGGAAGCACCCCAGCGAGAGGCTGCGAAGTCAACGCTAGGTTGCCTGGATGCGACAGAGGGAGTTGGAGTTGGAGGCCCAGCGGCAGGCGCAGTTTGAGGTGCGGGGCCCAGATCTCAACGGGGCGAATTGCCAACTCGGTCAGAGATATCTCAGGGGACCCCAAAACCATGTTGTGTCGATGTCGAATTGTGTTTCAAGAGCGGTCCACAACTGTTGGGTGGTTTGCGGCGTGGCGCACTGGCGCAATATGTTTGGGTTGGATTTCCCTCAACTCCTCAATGCGACGCCTGAGGTGTTGTGAACATGCCTTTTGCAACTGCTTGGCCTGCATCAGCCGATGAAGGTGTCGGCATGTTTTAGCAAGCCACGTTGCAGACATGCTTGTTTGCTTCGAGCTATCAACTCATTTTCGGAGTCTAACACCATTTAACCTGGGGATGCGAATGCGTCCTAGAATTGGGAGCCCCGTGCGACGAGAAACCAAAAGAAACCCACACGTCTACTTCTTGGGGTACACCTTTTTGACTTGAAAACCCCACAGGAGCCAACAACGGGTGCCCGCCTTGGGCACATCCCCACTTTCAATCCCTTATAATACAACTAGACCACGGTTGGCCCGAAAGCATAACATCGCAAGCGAGGTCGGCCAAACGCTGCAGGATACGTTCTTTTTCCGTACACGAAGCATTCGCGAAGCAAGGCTCATGGCCTGTTGGCTGCTAACTTTTCTGCATGGATCTTAGACTGTGGGGTTCCGAACCAGGGGCGCCCAATCCCTAAGTAGGGAGATACCACCCACTGTGGTAGCAGTCTCTGTGGCCCTGGAAATGCAGGGCTCAACGTGTGCATTTCCGGCTATTCCCTTCCTTCCAGGCTGAAACCGGAAAATTGGAAAATGCAACAATGTACAATTTCCTTCCACAACTAAATAATTGTACAATGTTTGTAAATTGTGCTGGTGGGTTTGGCTTAGGAGGTGCACGGTTTGCGCCAACTGCGAAACGTTGCTGTTGACAGCCAGGAGATCACGCTGAAGCACCTGAATGTCTAACTGCAACTCACGTTGAGGCGCCTGAATGTCCAATTGCAGCTGTTCGTTTGTCACAATGGCTGTGGACTCACTCTGAATGTCAGCGTCCATACAGAGCCGTCGCAAGAACGAAGAGGGCCCCGCCCTCCCTCCACTTGAGCATGAAACAAACGCGAGATAAACGAGCCAAGGCCTGTGCAAAGAGGATATCTCTTGAGCAACTGAGCCGACACGCTAACGCAAATGCAGTCTTCTTTTCCCCGCCTGCGCTGCTACCTTGGCAGGGCATCGGATGGAAGTAACATCGCGTCGAGCACAGGCGCGATTGTCCGCATAACAAACTGGACTACGAAGCAAAACAAGCATTCTCACGCAGAGAACGCAGTCGAGCGTCCGCGCAACAGCGTCTGTCTCGACTGACAGCCTCCCCGCGCATCGCAGACAGCCCAATAGCCTACTGCGCTGGCCGCACTTTGCCAACGCAGCGGCGCCGCTTCGCAGCCGGCTGGCTCGAGTCTGCGCTGGCACGAAGTAAGACAGTCGCCTTCACATATGTGTTGCCCGCCCAGCCGAGGTCGCGGATGTCCTTCTCCGCTTCTTCCAGGCTGCGGCCGGAGATCGCCTCGAACTCCCGCATTCTCGCGACCAGCTTCTCATTGTGGTCGCACAGAAAGGACTCGAAGCATTCCCTCCTCGGCAAGTCCACCAGAGTCAGATCACAAAGCTTTGTCGCACGAGACAACATCACATACAATGCCAGTCCGTAGTCTGCGTCTCTCATCCACGAAGGCTTGGTCAAGAAAGCAACAAGCCCTGCTCGGGCTGTGATGCCCTGCAAGCCAAAATGGCTCAGCGCTTGACGTGGTGCCAACGGCACCTTGCAGGTGCCAACAGCTGACAGAAAAAAACAACGCGTATCAAAATAAGTAAGAGTCAAGTCGGCAATAGCAAACATCCTTTCGTTTGGTTCCGAAAACTTGTCACCACGCCTGCTTGCGCACAATATTGATCTTCTGTTGCGAAGCAATCTCCAGCGGGAAACAGGCGCCGTCCTGCTTGACTGGCTTCACGTAGAAGTGCCCTGGTGGAACGTCCGCTGCTCGCTTTGATACTCCAGGTCGTCAACCTCCACCAAAACAGCCAAAGGCTGATAGCTCAGCACCACGCAAGCAGCTCCTAGTGGGAATGTTCCAGGCGACGCACCACCACGGGCAGCTCGCGAGTCAGCAAAGGCTCTGGCAAGATGCACGAGATGCGAGCCTTCATACCGACAAACAGCGGGCACATGCCCATCAGGTACCCGGTCTTGGTCATGTTCAAGACCTTGAGTGCCATGGCAGTGTGCTCGGCCGTCAAATTCTGACCGCCAGTCGGCTTGTCGATGGCTTGCACGAAGTATAACCTCTCCCCCGCTGCTTGCGCCTCCAGAGTAGCCCTCATGTGCTGCAGTCGCGCCACCTGCTCCCAGGCAAAGCCTCCCCAGTGCGCAGCCATGAGCTTTCGTTTTTCCTCCGCCCGACTCAAAGATTCGGGATCGAGTTCGCGGCTGCGCAGCATCTCCCAGAGCGCAGTAGGCATGCTCGTTCCGCTTCGCATGTGTCCAAGGATGCGCACAGGCGCTCGCCGGACTCGCAACTGCTGAAGCGGCCGGTGCCCGTGAAGTGCACCACCTTCTTCGCGGAGTTTCTGAAGAGAAAGCGACCCAGCCCCGACGCGTTGCTGACCTCGAGAACGTTCAAGCCCATTAAAGGAACTCAACAGAAATGAGAGCTCTCTCCTATCTTGTCAGTGTTCTCTCACGCCTCGCCTCTGCGTCTGGGCTCAGCTCTGCCTCCAAATCTGGAGCAGCAGCGGTGGCCGCGGGCGCTTCCAGCCACTCGCAAAGGCTCTTCTGCGCCGCTGGCCGTAGCTGCAAGAAGTCCCCTAGCTGCAGGCCGACGGGCATGCCCCCGAACCATTCGTCGAGGTAGCGGGAGAGGTCCAGCGACAAAGGCTGCGCTCGCTGCAAGGAGAAACGGTAGCCGGCAGCATGGCACACGTCTGGCGGAGTCATGGACAGCTCGTCCAAAACTGCAGCCCGGGCTTCGACGATTTGCTTTTCAAGCAGATCGTTTTTGCCCTTGTGAACACGTAAAGATTTGCGGTCCAGGCCAGAGCTTGGGCTGACATTGGCGAGCTTGTGCAAAGTGCGCGCCTCGCGCCCAAGCAAGCGGACAGCTGCGTGGGTTGGAGCTCCGACGACATAGCCTTCGCGTCCAAAAAAGCGCTGCAGTAAAGGACGGATGACTTTCATGTAGGCCCACGTCTTGCCGGATCCGCCCGCTCCCAACCAAAGGCAGGTGCAGCGCTCGTCGGCCTGGCCATCAGCACGGTGTCTGCTGGGATCAGTGCGTCGGGCCCACATCCGATCTATTGCAAGGACAACGGGCGCCACAGCTCGGATTTGCTGCTCGTTGAGAGTACTCTCCTGCCACTACGAAGCACTGTGCTGTGCCACTGTCTCCCTGTCAAGCTAACTTCCTAGCAAATGCCTAACATATCCTGCCACATAACAAACATACAAACATCGGCGACTTCGATTCTCCATCTCCTCGGCGACTTCGATTCTTACTGCAAAAGACAAAACATCTCCTCGAGCAAGCGGGCAGCGTAGTCTGCCGGCCGCAAGTTCTGGGCGTTGAGCTCGGCGAGAAACGGATCCTCGGGTAACTCCGGGTCCGCTGCGTCTGCCTGGCCGGACTCGTGCACGTCCAACTCCTGATCGTCTGCCACGCCTCGTGGTGTCCAGCAAAATTAAGCTGCAAAACCAAACACAACGATGTTTTTGGACCTGAGTAAATAGCGCCATAAATAAGCGCCAAGCACAGAGACGATCGTCCGCACGACAGCGTCAGTCTCGACGTCTGGCTCTTTCCGCTTCCATGCCGCTTCCATGCACGTGCGCGCGGCAATCCCAGCCTCCAGCAACTTGCTGCAGATAAGCCTGCTGACATTGGAAAGCAGTCTTGGCCATGTCGTGAGTCCAAGTCCTGCGGCCTCCAGCGCAGCCAGACGATGCTTCGTGGACTGCCGCGGCGATGTTGGGCACGCCGCCCAGGGCTTCCACCACCCGCATGAGCTTGCGCAGCGCCATCTTGTTTTGGCTGTCTCTGCCTGCCATGACGCGGTGCCATTCTTTGTCACGAAACAGCACCTCCGTCAGGTCATCTCGGGCCACTGGGCACTCTGCCCGGTAAGCAGCGTCCGCCTGCTCGAGGTCATCGCCCATGTCCTCGCCTTCAATCATCATCGTCCTGAAGGCAGCGCGCATAACTATTCGCCGCATTCTTCTAGTCAAATCGAAGAAACACAACCCATAATCCATTGACATCCCTCCGACCTCGAGGTCATCGCCGTTGTCTTCCTTGGCAATGTAGGCAAAGCGCTCCGCTCGTCGCTGGCTACTACTGACTTGGCGCGCAGAGTGGTGCAAGCAAAGGCGCTCCAGCCACACTTCCTGGACAAACGCCATGTGCTCGATCGGAGTCAGCTGCGCGTAATGAAAGCCCACAGGAAAAGCCAAGAACCAGCATATACGCTCATGGATTCGCGGCAAGTCAGCGAAAGCAACGCTACGTTCACAAAAGAGCCGGCCCCAGCACCACATGAGAAAGTATGCTTGGCCGCGAGCCACAGCGAGCTTGATTCTGCTGCGAGCCTGCTCCTCAGACTCAACGGCGCCAGCTTCCGCCTGCTGATGAAGCTCTGGCACTGCCAGCTCTTGCTCGTCGTCCCGCACAGCCTCGAAGTCTGGCAAAAGATGCTGCTCCGACGCAGACTGCTCCATGCCGGGAAGCCATTCCCGAAGTCCTACCGCGTCTCGCAAGTAAGGCAAGGCTAAGCCAGAAAGCAGCCTTTCCTGAGCAGACTGTCGCTTCACTTGCAAAAAAGATTTGTAATGCTTCCACATGGGCTTGTACCTGCTGCGAATCTCGCCCTTGCCCTCCGAGAACTCTAGGCTGTGGCACTCGAAGCATTTCCAAGACTCCTGGCAGGCATCAGCACCAGGGCATCGTGGAAAGGGAAAAG